TTGTAGACAGGGAACCAGAGATAGCAATTGGCAAGTGAGGACAACTATAAACAAAAAGAGGGAAAAGACTGTGCAGTCACAGAATTTCTAAATGATGAGGAAGTTAAGAAAGTTGAAAGATAGAATGGACTGTTCTAAACTTGGGGATAAATTTATAAATCATAGGGTAACCTCAAAGAAGAATTAAGAAGTAGAGCAGAAGCACTAAGCATGTTGTTATTCCAATTAATTGGAATGTCCCATGAAACCATGACTCAGTTTCCTAACCAAGGAGCCAGATGCCATGAAGATGTACGTAAGCAGTCTTTTAAGTCAAGTTATACAATATTTGTACTTTTGTGATTGGCTTGTTTCGCTCAGCATAATGTCGTCAAGCTTCATTCACACTACAGCATGTAGCAAGACTTCGTGTCTCCCATTGGCTGAGTGGTCTTCCATTGTTTTCGTGTACCACATTTTGTTTATCCATTCATGTTGATGGATATTTAGATTGTTCCCACTTTTTGGCTATTGTGAATACTGCTGCAGTGAACATTGGTGTACAAGTCTTTTTGAATATCAGCTTTAAGGTGCACATTTTTTTTTTTATTGCGTGGTGCTTATAAGACATTTTGAATTTTGTGTCTTTTGATTACATTTGCTGCTTTACATTTTATTTTTGGCTCCAGGTTTGGGTTCATTGAAATATTATAACAGAGAGTGAAAAGCCACAGTGTGGGGGGAGATGTTTGCAACACATAAAACTGAAAAAAGGCTCTTATGCAGAATATATAAAGAACATCTGTAAATAGACAATTACATTTAGTTTGGGATACTGCAAAGTCAAATGGAACATTCTTCGTAAGAGTGCCCTTACTTAAGACACCAGCTTCAAATTCAGAGCTCCCCAAGACCACCCTCAGGTTTGGCTAGAATGACGTCAAAATTCTTAGGAAAGTGGTATACTTAGAATTACAGTTGGATATAAATAAAAATCAGCCAAGGGAGGAGACACATGGGACAGAGTCCTAGTTGTCCTTTCTTCATGGAATCATGGACTGCATTTGTCTTCTGGTTACGCTGTGTGACAATGCACAGAATATTGTCAACCAGGGAAGCTTACCTGAACTATTGGGGCTCTATCATACTGTCCATGTGGCTGATGTTTAGCCCCCAGCCTCTTTTGGAAGTCAGAAGATAGGGTTCGTGGTCCCCAACATAAATCACATTGTTAGACTAGTGACTGAAGCCCTCTGGCAGACAAAAATGCTCTGTTAGGAGGGACTTTTCAGAGGGTTAGAGATTACCTCCCAATAGCTCAAAGCAAAGGCCAGACCTTTTTGGATAAGCTTACTTCTGCAATATACAGCAACTTAATAGATTGGATGAGAGTTGAACTTAATCAAAAAGGCTACTCAAATGGACGGTAAATACATGGAGAGGGACTCAACTGCAAATG